CCAGTGGTTCCCAAACTTTTCAGCATTTGACCCACAAAATAACAGTAGCAGAGACCTGTGCCCCCAACTATTTTTGGATGATAAACATTTGTATCAGGTCAACTAAACATGGGCATAATAACAATATTTTTTATACACATTTATCCATTTTAAATAAACTAACCTCACTCCTTTGTAACAACTAAGGCAAAAATGTCATTAATTCAGAAAATATTTCCCGACCCCAACTTTGGGAAACACTGGTTTAGCCTATTGTAACGCACTGCTTTCTGGTCTTCCTAAGAAAAACCTGTCTAGTCTGAAGCTGTTGCAAAACTCCGTTGCTCGTGTGCTAACCAAGACCAGAAGGCAGGCTCATATTAAACCTGTTTTAAAATCATTCCACTGGCTCCCCGTACATCTTAGAATTGATTTTAAGGTTCTTTTATTGGTTTTTTTTAATGTCTTAATCGTCTTGCACCATCTTATCTGGCTGAACTACCCTATGAACCGCCACAAACCCTAAGATCCTCTGGCAATGGGCTGTTAACAGTTCCAAGAGTCAGAACACACAGATACAGAGAGGCTTCTTTTCAGTACTATGGCCCTTGTCTGTGAAATGGTCTGCCTGAGAATGTGAGGGCTGCAGAGTGTTGCAATCTTTAAGAGCAGGCTTAAGACACACCATTTTTAACTGTATTCCTTAAACTGTATCTTTCCTGATCACTACATTTTTTTATTGTTGCTTTCATTGTATTATTATGACCCCCGCACGCGAAGCATAAGCGGGAGTCGTATTGTTTTCGTACTGTTTATTTAATTATTTATTTATTTTTCAGTGATTTTTTTTTTTTTGGTAAACCGTAGCACAAAAACAGCTGCACCGATCAACATGAAATTTGGCAGGGCTGTAGATGAGTCCGACCTACACTGCGCCATCCAACGGTTTTATGATAGACCCCCTATTTGAGGAGGGGGCTCCATTCAAAGAGGGGGTGTCAGGACATGAAAAATGTTTATAACTCAGAAACTGTTCAACATAGAAGCTTCGAATTACTTTTGTTGTTTAGCTCTGATGAAGCTCTATCCATCAGGCCCACAATCAGTCCCCCCCGGACCCCCAATTTATCTGAAAATTGTTTTCGTACTTTTTTTTCAGTGATTTTTGGTCAACCGTAGCACAAAAACGGCTGCACCTATCAACATGAAATTTGGCAGGGCTGTAGATGAGTCTGACCTACACTGCGCCAGCCAACGGCTTTACAATACACCCCATATTTGAGGAGGGGGCTCCATTCAAAGAGGGGGTGTCTGGACATGCAAAAATGCTTATAACTCAGAAATTGTTCAACGTAGAAGCTTCAGATTTCTTTTGTTGTTTAGCTCTGATGAAGCTCTATCCATCAGGCCCACCAATCAGTGCCCCCCCCAAGCCACTATGATTTTGGGATGCACCTAGTAGCATGACATTTATTAGGAATAAAGACTTCTGAGTTCTGGTGCTTTTGTGCGTGCGGGGGTCATTATGTTACCGCTTTGYGGTATCTAGTTATTGTTGTTGTTTTTCTTTTTTATGGGTTTGTTTATTGTGCATAATTTTGTACAGCACCTTGAGCTGCTTTTAGTATGAAGGTGCTTTATAAATAAATAAAAACTAAAAACTTAAAATGCATAAAAAGCTTAATTCAATAGGTTTAATAGGCTGACATTTTGAATATAAAATTGAATGCAATGTAATCTTAAAACACAGTGTTTGGTAAAACAGTACTTTACATTTTAACTGATTTGCTTAATTTTCACAAGGCCAACCAGAGGACACGGGAAAAGTGATGGAAAAAATGATGGCAAAAATTTTTCAAGTCTGAAAATTCCACTTTTCAGGGGAGAAAACAACCAGAAACACCAAAAGGACAAGGCTCCAACACCTTAGGGCACAATGAGTTCTACAATTTCAAGTAAGTGTGAAAAGGACAAAATATTGGGATCTGTTTTTAGTGGTCTTTTTGTAAAGATTTATTTATCTTTTTTTATTATTATCATTATTATGTTTATTTTCTGTATTTTGTGCTTTGTTCCATTTTTTTTTGTTTTTCTTCTGCCATCAGTTTATTTCCTCAGTCAGTTCTTCCCACTCTCACCTCTCACCTGTCCCCAGTCTTCATTGGACTCAGGTGTCTCCACTTGGTCATTAGCCTTGGGCAATATTCTGTTTTCATTAATTTACCAGTTGAGCATTCTTACTTTTCATGCCACATTCAATTATTTTTGTGCCTTTTCCCACATAGCAGACAGGTGTGGGTCAGATCTGGTATCAAGCTGACACTGCTCTCTGACTGCTGTCATGGCAAGTGGTTTGTCAACAAGATGTGTGCTGGGTCTGGCAATGATGGCACTGTTTTGAGATGACATGCCACAACTGGCCACAAGGCCTGCTTGTGGTTTGCTTTACGCATCCCAAAGCTGTCAATGCCACAACAACAATTAGCTAAAAAAATTATTTTTGTATTTATTTATTGTAACGTGTCATTCACATGTGCTATCCGTCTTTCCCATCTGTCCACTTGTTAATGGGTATTAAAGGGAAACTAATGTCTTAATGCCTCAGATTCACTGGTGTGGAAAAAATAAAAAGTTAAATGGGCTGAATTGTTGAATAAAGTTGTGTGTGTAAAAAGATAAGCTAACACCAAATATATATATTTTCCAGCTTCCTCTTTGAAAACAGGAGACAGAGGTGATATCTGGACCTGGTCCACCTATAAGTTCCAGCTGCCTGTGACCTGTGGACACGTGAAGGGAACACTTATACGAGACAGTTTGGCTAAAGGTTAGAGAAGCAAAGTAAAACTAAACATCTGAAGTGTCTGACTTTCTACAAAGTCATGAGTTTACTTTGTCTTCCTGGGTMTGTTGTGTACTTTGTGTTGCAGAAGTGATATAGAAGAAGCTGCTGTCTGTTGGATTAAAAAATAAATGATACGGGAGGTGTGGGTAGGAACAAAATCTAACTGTAGAGCTACAGTATATGACATAGCATATATTCTTAATATTTATAAATGAACATAGAGCTGTTCAGCTCTCTGTTCAACACAATGCTCCAGCACAGAGTCCACAATACTGCAGAAGCTGCACAGATCTACTTGTTGAGCTCACACCCCACATTTAAGCTCCATTTCTATTTCCAGTTTAATGGATTCAGCAGAAAAATGTATTATATTTCCATATTCATTCATCAGTTCCTGCCTTTCATGTTCCAACAAAGCAAATCACAGCTCAGCATTTTAGGAAGAAGATTTAAGTGATGCATAGATGATAGTAAAACCATCAGTAGACCTGTACTAGTCCCTGATTTGTCTTTATTACTGAGGGATTCTYTTTGATGGAACGTCTCAGACCTTAAAGGGATGACCTGTCCAGACTTTTAGACTCATTTTAKTTTCCTGTTTTGAGAGCTTGGTCTGAATATTTTACCTCTTGAATATTTCAGGGGGGAAATGCATTTGCGTCAAGAACCAGTGGTTTACTCCCACTGAGTTTGAGAGGTTTGCAGGGAAGGAACGCACCAAAAACTGGAAGCTGAGCATCCGATGTGAAAACATCCCTTTGAAAAAGCTGATTGAGGTTTGAAGAAAAGTGATTTTAGATATGTGAGACAYGACTTGTCAAACTGCTTCACTTCTTTGCAAATGTTTTATTCTTTTTTTGGATTCCAGGACGGTCACTTGAAGTCAGTAAGATACAAACGAAGATGTAAACAGGTAACAAACTACTGAAGATTGATTTTTTTATTTATTTAATTTTATTTTTTTTAATTTATTGATTCTAGTTTCATAAATTTGATCTCATTTCTTCCCGGCAGGTGAAGAAACCTCAGCTGTCTTCTAATCGTTCAGCTAAAGGTTTGTTGTTTTAGTCACTGTCGTGGCAAGAATGGTCAGAACCACGGCGAAAAGGGTGTTTAAAAGACAAAGTCTTGCGGGTATGATTATAAAGTCATTTATTGATGGGCAGACATTAAACAGAAAGCAATCACGAAGTCTGTAAGATGTGGGCCCGGCTGTCATAGGCCGGGCAAGCAAAGTTATACTGTGAGCTATCATTATGTGATATGAACAACCAATCAGAATGTGCCTCGTTCTGGTACATGAAGTAGGTCAGCTTGAAGATGACGTTCAGACGATATCATAAGATATGAACAATTGGACAGTGTCAAGGTGATACATAATCAGTATTCCACAACAGTCACAAACATGGTTTAAAGTGCATGTGACTTAAAATTTTTGTAATAAATATGAATGCATTTTTGGAAAGATAATACACCCTTCTGTGTCTCAGTCATTGAGYCTTTGGTCATGACACTTCACCTGTCTTGCCTGCTGGTGGTGGTCAGAGGGTACAGTGGCACTGGTGCATGGCAGCCCCCCCACTGTCAGCCTGCTCCAAGGCAGCCGAGGCTATAATGTAGCTTACTACCATCAGTGTGTGAATGTGTGAACTACTGCTGTGTGAAGCACTTTGGAGTCTGTATGGACTTGACAAAGAGCTAGTTCAGGCCATTAATCATTTCACTTTGGCTGAGCCAAATTCAAAAGAAAATATTCTAGTAATGTGACAAAATGGGCAAAGTTGTGTATTATGCAAAGTTTCTTAAATGCAAAGATGTTTTCTTTGACTTTTTGTGTTTAAATGACATGCATGCCATAGGCAGTTTAAGACTGAGGACTTTTATTTTGTTTGGTAAAGGGACTGTAGCATCACAAAGAGCAGCAGAACTCAGAGCTTGTTTTTAAAAAGAGTTTCAAACATGTACTGTACACTCTGTATTGACTTCTAAACGTTTTTCTTTCAGCTGCTGCCAGGAGTCACAACTATGAGAGAGTTCGCATGACAAAGTTGGAAGTTGTTTTGAACCGGATACCCTTCCAGACGCAACATGGACTCAAACTGAATAATTGTATCTACAATGATTTCTTTTAGTTTTCTTATGTTTATACACTACATAGTTGRAGATAAAACRGCACCAGAGTGAGATTCCACTTAGWTGTTTTTAAACTCTTCTTTTAGTGCTTGATGAAGAAGGTGAAGAGGATGAAGAAGGTAACCGGGAAGATGAGGTTTCATCATGCCGAACTGAAGATTCATCAGACGACACAGGTGCTGATCATCACAAAATGTAATTCTGCTAAAAGACTAAATGTAATGATGTAACTGAACAASTTTTTGTTTATTTTATTCACAACATGTGAATAAAATGAAAGATCAGGACGAGCAGCAGCCAGAACCCAGCCTTGACAACAAAAGGACGTTCACAGTGACGTGTCGGGGTTTGTCTGGGATTTTATACGAAAAACGATTTGCAGGTAACCCTCTCAGTCAAAACAAAACCACACAAAACAAAACAAAACGTGRTTTTGTTGGAATAGATTAGACAAAAAAAAAGTATTTTTTGTTTTTTAAATGAATCCGTAGTACTTTAGGCAGGGTTTTAAACTCTACAGCAGTTTTGCTGTCAGAGACGTGTAGCTCTGATGATGGAGGGTAAAAAAACAACAACCATCTTTTCTTCATTAGGGAAACGTGGGAAAAGTATTCGTACCAAGACGAGCTGGTTGACCCCRGTGGAGTTTGTAAACGCAGCGTTAGGTCACAGAAACGGCTCCTGGAGGAAGGACATTGAAAGTGATGGAAAACCACTCGGTTTTCTCCTGGAGGTAAACATGGTCAGAAGTGTGTCAAGCACTCTGTCATCACAGAACAGTTTATTTATTGGTTCTTGAGCTGACTGTAGATATGAATTACATATTAAGTGAAGAGAAAATAGAGAGAGAGATAAACAGAGAGAAGTAATTAGAAAGATAGAC